TGTCCTTTGTCTTTCATGCCCTTGACATTTTTGAGGAGTACAGGCCAGTTACTGTGCAGAATATACCTTGTTTGGGTTTGTCTGCTGTTTCCTCCTGATTAGATTCAGGGTGGGCATTTTGGGCAGTGTATTAATTTGCTCGGGCTGCTATAACAAAATACTAGAGGCAGACATTTCCTTTCTCACAGTTCTGGAAGGTGGAAGTCCAACATCAAGGTGTCAGCAGGTCTGGTTTCTTTTGAGGCCTCTCTCCTTGGCTTGCAGATGGTTGGTCACCTTCTCACTGCGTCCTCACATGGTCTTTCCTTTGTGCACTTACATCCTTGGTGTCTCTTTGTGGGTCCAAATTTCCTTTCCTTGTAAGGGCACCAGTCAGATTGGATTAGGGCCCACCCTAATGGCCTCATTTTAACTTCATCACTTCTTTAAAGGTCCTATCTCCAAATACAGTGCATTCTGGGGTCTTATAGGTTATGGCCTCAACATATAATGGGGCGGGGGGCGGTGCAAGAGTTCAGCATATAACAGGCAGGAATACCCCAGAAGTCATATTGTGTCCTCAGTGCATTCCACCAGGAGGCTCATCACACTGATTTGTCCTATTACTGATGATGTAAATTTGATCACTCGGGTAAGATGCAGTTGGCCACATTTCTCCACTGAAAAGGTACCATGTTTTTCTTTGTAAATAGTAAGTACCTGATGGGGAGATACTTTGAGACCATGTCATTATCCTGCCCCTTAGCAAACATCCACCTCCTGGTGTGGTGGTTTGCTAGGTGGGAGAGAGAGCAGCAGCCAGAGGACTTGAGGGACCTGGATTCCATCCTGTGTTCACTGCTCAGGGGTGAAAGGTCCTTCTCCCACCTGCATAATAGGGATGAGAATGATGGTGGTGGGGGTGGAATTAGATACTCTATAGAAAGGTGTTTCCTAACGGATCACAGGCCTTCCATGTGAGGAGAACATGTCCCCCAAGGCCCTGGAAAGGCAGAGAAAGGGCGAGGCAGCTTCCTCATGGCCAAGGGCAGAAGGATGCCTTTGAGAAAAGCGGTTGGCACCACTTTTCTGGAGAGGGGGAGCCTGGGCTCTTGGTTATGATCCCGTATTTGTGCAGAGACTAACGGGTGCCAGAGCTCGTCAGCCTGGGAAGGATCCCAGCTCCTCCACTCACTGGAAAAAGTCGCATTTCCTTATCTGAGTAATGGGGCTAATAACAGTACCTAACTTGTAGGGTTGCTGTGAGGATAACATAAGATAACCCGCAGAAAGCACTGAGAACAGAGCCTGCAGGTGGTAATCTTTAGAACACGACATCGATGAAATCACTGTTATTCTTATTGATGGGAGAGCGGGTCAGATTGATGGGACGGGGAGGGCGCTGAAGGAGGAAGGAGCCTTTCCAGGCTGAGCAGAAAGACAAGGGTGGTTGTGAGGATTAAATTAGCTAATACATGTGAAGGCCTGGCCTGGTGCCCGGTACACAGCAAAACCCCGTAAATATTAACTATTACTATTTGTAGTGGGTGGAGCGGTGGGTCCCCTAAAAGATATGTCCACATTCTAACCTTGTTGAAAATGTGACCTTATTTGGACAAATGGGCGTTGCAGATATAACTGAGTTAAGGATCTCAAAATGAGATCATGCTGGTGGTCCCCAAATCTAAGGACAAGTGTCCTTAGGACAAACAGGCAGGAGAAGGAGGAGGAGCCCATGTGAAGGGGAGGCCGAGACGGGAGTGATAGAGCCCCCAGACGAGGAGCACCTGCAGTCACCAGAGCTGGAAGAAGCCAGCGAGGAGCCCCCTAGAGACCTCAGAGGGAGAGCGGCCCTGCTGAGACCGAGATATCAGGCGTCTGGCCTCTAGAGCGATGAGAGAATAATTTCTGTTGTTTTAAACCATGGAGTTTGTGGTACTTTGTTATGGCGGCCTTAGGACGCTCATGTGCTATTGTTTTTGTGAGGACTAACTGGCATATTAGTTAATAAAAACAGAAAGTTATTAGTCCCCAAGGTTGTACCCACTGCAGGTGAAATGGACCCAGAGGGAATGGCACCAGGCCATGGGTAACAACGGATCTAGAGAGGGTCACCCCAGAGGAAGTGGAGCACCTTTGTGGGTCCAATCTCCAATACTGGAGATTCATTTTGTTCAGCAAACATTCATTGGGACCCTTCCCACATGTCAGGCCCTCCGCTTGGCTTTGGTGATGAGGAGATAAAATAGGAACAGTCTCTGTCCCCAAGTTGCTGATCGTGAGGGTGGGGAACAGTTGTGTGACAAAGTTACCATGACGAGCAGAGGTGGCATGATGTCAAGTGAGGCAGAGATGTGGGAGGAGGTGGGGTCTGACTGAGAGGATTAGCAAAGGCTTCCCAGAGGAGGCAACCTCTGGCTGGGGTTTTGAAGGATGAATAGGAGTCCACTCAAGAGGCCAAGGGAAGCAATGGTATTCTAGAGCAGGGGGCAAACAGCATGAGGAAGGGCACAGAAACAGCCTGGTAGGTACAGGGTGTGAGGAGATGGTGACAAATACTGACTGATGATAGGAAGTGATCAGGAAGCAGCAGAAACGAAGGTGGAGGCATGGGCAGGGCCAGATCACTGAGGGGCTTACTGGCCAAGTGAGGAGTTAGACCTCCTCCTGTGGGTGATGGTGGCCTAGGGAGCTCGACCTGGGCTTCCCACAACGTCCTGTCGTGCTCCTCTGCTGTGTGTCAGCAACCCTAGGGCTGAGTAAGGAAGGGGGCTGCAGGATTCCCGGGCAGGCCTCACCTGCTTCCTGTTGTGCATCTCACTTCCTGTTTGATTGGCTTCTGTAAAGGCCAGAAAGGAACATGAAAACCCACTTCCTAAGACAGGGGCAAAGGGAGAAGGCTGGAGAGAAGCCCAGAGCTGGGGGATACACTGGCCCATTCCCTTGACTGCTTGTGAAACACCCTCGATGCCATGAGCATCCTGTCAGGAGCCCAGAGACACAGCTTATCTCAGAAAGGGGTCCTGCAGGATAAGTAGGGAAGGAGAAAAACGCATTCCAGGCAGCAGCACCCGCACGTACAAAGGCACAGAGGTAAGTGGCTGGGGTCGCTGGGGACAAGGGGGAGGGTGCAGGGACTGGTGGTTAGTGTGCTGGATCTGAGGCTTTGGAAGTTTGAACAGCTCCCAGAGGCAGCAGAGACCCAGCAGGGGTCAGTTAAGCTCAAATTTCTCTGTCCCTGCTGCTGCTGTAGGTGAGGTTGATACAGAGATGGACCCGACTGCCGCTCTTTCTGGCTGTGACAGCAAGTTCCAAGCTATGGAGAAGGCTGTACTTCAGGGACTAGGGCCTGTGTCCTGGGGGTAGCTGTGTCCTTTCCTAGATCCTGGGGGGTCACTGGAGAGGGCTGGGCAGGGCTGAGGCTGAAGACCCACCCTTCCCCTCCATCCCAGCTTCCCATCCCAGTGCCCAGAGAAGCCAGGCTGAAGTGGCTCTGTGGTCACCCTGCCCCACCCCCTGGTCGGGTTGTGACACCAGCTTCCCTGGGCCCTTCTCCCTTTCCTTAATCTATAGGGTAGGCCCTGGACGCACTGGCAGCTGGAACAAAGCACACCTCCCTTCTCTTTGCTCCCCCAAATTCTGTTTGGCAAGGCCCAGCCTCACGGAGGTCCTCACATCAGCATCAAGGCAGACAAGAAGAAGAAGAAATAATGATAACAATGGCAGCTGGCTCTTGTGGACACTGCACCAGTGCTGAGCTGAGCTCTTTGCGTATTATCTCCCCCGATCCTCAGAGCGGGGAAGGGGGGCACCCCTGGAGGCCCTTGCCTAAAAGCCCCTGCTCTCTAGCAAGACCTAGCTGCCGCTCCTGCTCCAAGCACAGCTGCCCGAGGACGCCAGGTCTCCATCCCAGTGGACCCAGCAGCGCTGGCATCCCCCACTCAGCTTGATAGAAATGCAAATGCCCAGGTTGTGCCCCAGGCCTGTTGGATCATCAGACACCCTGGGGGTGGGGCCCAGCAATCTGGGTTTAACAGCCCTCCAGGAGGTTCCAATGCTCTCCACGTGAGGTTCTCACACTCAAGTTGAGAATGGTTGGTCTATATCATTTTAGGCCTTTACGGAAGGCCCCGGTCACCCTTCTCCGGACTCTGATCTCCTCAAGGATCCATCTGACTGCCTTGGTGTCCTTCTGTCCATAGCGCCGGCCTGGCACTGCAGAGGCCTCCACACCAGCTCTCTGATTGGATTTTCTCCGTCTGAGACAGCCTGAGCCTGTGCCTCCTGGTCACTGGAGGCTCCTGTCCTCTGCTTCCAGCCAGCGAGCCCTGCCCAAGGCCCCCACTGCCCCTGTCTAGTCACCAGACTCTTCTTCTTGAGACTTCCTATTGGAGTTGTGGGGGCTGAACCCAGTGGGGGTTGAGGGTGGGGCACACACCCTGCCCATCCCTGGCATCCATCCGTCATGTGGAGGTGGAGATGGTGGGACTTGGCTGTGAGAATACTCCCACCATTCCCACGGTGGGAGTGCAGCTGAGGGGCCCCCCAAGAGCAAACATCACTGCCTCCTTCTTTAGAAAATGCCTTAGGGCCTTGCTCATTTGGGAGTCCTTTTTTTGGTTTGTTTTAGTAACTTTTCATAAGTTGTCCTTGGGGAGGGTTTGGAGACGGGCCACCACAGTGATCCAGGATAGGAAACAAGGGTTGAAGGAAAGGTCAGAAGAGTGAGCGTTTCAGCTTTAAAAGGGTTCAGTTGAGGGAAGCCGTAGAGGAGTAAGGATTTCAGGTAAGAAGCACCTTGGCAGGGCCGCCGTGAGAGGTTGTGCAGGACGTTCACTGCACAAGGGTACTGGGCAGAGGGAGGGCTGAGATCCAGGGGGAGAGCTGTGCACACCCCAAGCCCGATGCCCCGGGGCTAAGATGTGTCTCTAGGTGGGTAGGGGAGATCTTTCTTAGCCCAAAGAGCAGTTTGTGCAGCAACCTCTGTGCTTGGGGGGAGGGGCTGTGCAGAAGGTGTACCTTTTAACAATTCATATTTTACTGCTGTGAAGGGACTTGCCTGAGGGCCACACAGCTAGGAAGTGGCAGTGCTGAATCCAAACGTTCGCAGTCTGGCCCCAGAGTCCCTGGGCTTACCTGTGTGGCCTTAGAGGACGTCCATGGATCAGCAGGTCAGCGGGGTGGGGTGGGTGGGGGTGAAGTTACTTCCCAAAGTGGAATGGGAACATCTCTCTATTTTCTAGGGAGAGCTGCAGGCACTGGTGTTTGGAAGATGGAGCCCCTGCCCTTTGCAGATATAATTGGGTTAAGGGTCTCAAAATGGGATCATGCTGGTGGTCCCCAAATCTAATGACAAGTGTCCTTAGGAGAGAGGAAAGGAAACCTTGTCTTAGTGCTGATGAGTTGGATAATCAAGGCTCTGACTGATCTGCTCTCTTGGGCTACAGTGAGAAATAGTGAGCTATCACACGGTCACAATATTTTATTGATTCTTTACTCAGGAGTGCAGTCTCTCAGCCAATTTATCAAGCACCAGGCTCTGTGTCAAGCTGTGCCTAAATGGAAGATTCTTGTAGACCCTATGGAGGGGGGTGCCCTTAGCCCTGATGGGGGTGTTGAGTTCTTAACATGTTTTACTGAGTACCTCTTAGGTGCTGGGACATTGAAGGAATGGTCCCTGAGCCCCGGAAGCGTTGTCAGCAAAGTGGAGTAAAAACTTAGGGAACACATTTACAAATTTATATAATTCAGTCATCTTATCCTAGGGCTTTGAATCCATTTGAAGTAAAAGCTGTTTTTGCCCTTGCCCTATGCCTATACCCATTTTTCCTCCAGAGGGGAAAGAAACTGATATTTATGAGAACCTACTGTGTGCTGGGTGCTTTGTGGATGAGGGCACCTCGTTGGCACAGCCTGTGAGGCAGGCATTGTTGCTCTGTTCACAGATAGCCGAACCCGGCCCAGCAAGAGGAAGTGGCTGGCCTCCTGGTCAGGGGCAGGGTGGGCAGCCAGGCCCCCATGCTCTGCCCACTGGCCCGCCCTGCCTTCCTGGAGGGGGAGCCTTTGTGGCTCCTCACAGACAGGCAGACACGCTGCCCGGCTACCTCAGAGGAGCGGAGGGGTTTCTTCTCTGAGGGTTACGGAGTCAGGAGAGGGCAGCTCAGGGTGGTAGACCGATGGACAAGGTGTTCCTCTCCCTTACACACTTCCACACACCGGTCACTCTCAAGAGCACCGCCCTCTGCACACTCGAGCTCACACTTTTGGGCACATGCCTAGCTCCCCACATGCAGTAGCACTGGCTTCTGCAGAGTCTTCTTTGTGAAGGGAGAGAGAGGGGTGAGGAGGGGCTGCCGGCAGTTACGTTCCTTCCCCATTCATGGAGATTCGTATTACGTGAACACCAGTGGGACAACTCACTGTCGGCTGTCCCCGCCTCCCCCACTCCACCCCTGAACACACACATACACACACACGCTGGGGCTGATAGCTATTTCCTCCCTCAGCCTCACTCTGTCTCGTCCTGCCTGGTGCCTCTTGTTTAGTCTCTGCCAGGAGCTGACTGCCTGCAGGGCTGGAATCCTGTGCTTCCTCTGCCCAGGTAAGGAGGCGGAGGCCCAGGGGCTGGGCAGCCTTAGTGCCCTCTCTTGACCCACGAGGGAAGGCACAGTTTACCAGGGGAGAGGACTGTTAACAGCTAGGATGGCAGACAGCTGGGTTTACCATAGACTGGAGAGGACCTGCGGCTCAGAGTGGGGAAGGACTGCATTTTCCTAGGTATTAACTAGGTGCCTGGCACAATGGGGAACCACTTACGCTTCTCATTCCACACTCACAAGCAATCTGGGCAGGATGATTCCATGGCAGCCTTAGGGTAACTGACCCAAGTTCACCCAGCCAGGAAGTCGAGGATCTGGGATTAAAACCCAGGTCTCTGATGCCAAAAGCCTGCATGCTCTGCCCCCAGCCCCCTGCCAACACGGGGCCCTCGCTGCTGGGCTCCCTCAGGACCCTGGGAGGCTGGGAGCTGACTCCCTGCAGCCGGAGGACCAATCTGGAAGGGTCCCCAGGGTGCAGCAAGACTGTGCTCACTGAGCATCCCCATGGGACTTGGATAAGCAGCTGCTGGTCTGAAGGGGACGTTTCAGAGCAGAGAGGGGGTGGCACTTGTCTGTCTGCTGGGAGTAGTGTCCCAGCTCCATCACTGCCACTGAAGGATGTCGGGCAAGTTGCTGTGCTTCTCCAAGCCTCAGTTTCCTCTTCTGAAAAATGGGGTGTCATAGGTCATTGCGAGCGTGATCACTCCGCAAACTCTAAAGCTTAGGAAGTATGAGCATGCTCAGGGAGCACACGCCCAACCGCTGCCCACCCACCTGCAGAGCCCCAGCTCAAAGGGGCTCATCTGCCAGGAAAATTCTAGTTTGATACCCCAGAACTTCACCCTACAAAGGAACGTGGTCCCTGGAGAAGGGGATGGGTCTTCTTACCCCGGTCCACAGTGTTTCCTTTGGAAAGGTGAATACTGAGGCCTCTCCCGCCAACACGCACACACCTTTCCTTCTCTTCTTCATCATCTCTTACTTAGAGGGAGAAGAAAGAACAGGCTGAATGCTAAACGGCTGCTCTTCTTACATGTCTGTTGTTTGGGTGGCTTTGGGCAAGTTATTTAAATACTTGAGTCTCAGTTTTCTCATCTGCAAAAGGGGATGGAGAGAAGTACTGGCACCTTTCATGTAAAGTTGTGAGCAAGACACCACCTATGTAAAGGGACCTACCACAGCACTGGCGTGCCGTGGGGGCCCAGGACAACCTGAGTCCCCCACCCCTGCAACCTGTCCCCTACCTCCTCAGTCCTCACTGATGTCAACCAGCTTCACATCAGATGGTCCCGGGGTCTTGATGAGGCTGTGGGTGTGCACATCTGGGGTATCTGCTCATCTGCCAGAGGCTGGCATCTCTAGCGCTTATCTGAGTGGTTGCTCAATTAATATCTGTTGAATGAGTGCCCGAGTGAGTGAATAAATGAATGAACGGGCTAGATTTCCTAGAGCAGGCAGAGCAGCTGTGTAGGGGAGAGGTCTTCTGGCCCCACTAGACCTCCGGAGTCCCAATCTGATAGTTCCTCCTGCCCAGTTCTCTCCCCACTCTTATCTTATTTCCTCTCCAACTATCAGAGGAGGGGCTGGTTCCATTGTTTGCAGTCAACACACCCAACCAGCCACCACCATGGGAGCAAAGGGCCCCAAAGAGAACCTGTAGAGAGGCAAAGTCTGGGGGTGCTGTGGGTGGGGAGGAGAGGAGTCCCTTAAAGGCATAGACCTTCATCCGCTAGGCCAGCTGAAGCCTCCTGCCCTTTAGGTGGGGCCTGCGTCATGCTTCAGCTCACTGGGAACTGAGAAAAGGAGTCCTGCATGGCCTGGCCTTGTTCCTATTTCTCCCCGTGACCTTAGGCTATCTGCTTAATAATCACAATGACATGATGTATGTGTGCCAGGCTTTGTTCTAAATGCTTATATAGATCATTGAACTCTCTCAACAACCCTCTGAGGCTAGGTCCTGTGATGCCTGACATCCATGTTGCAGAGGAGGACAAAGGCTCAGGACGGTTCAGTGGCTTGCCCAGTGTTGGCCGGTGAGGGGGCTGGGGAGCGGGGATGTTATTCCCCACACCTTACTGCCTTTACTGATCCCCAGGGGACTCCTCCATAACATCCGTGGGTCAGACTCTCCTCTCCTGGCTAGGGTTCCCTGTTGCCCCTGCACTGCTCATTTCAGTGCCTCCTTCTCGTCATCGCAGCACCTGCCATGTTGGCCAACGCCACCATGAAGCCGCTCTGCCCCCTCCTGGAGCAGATGAGCCAACTCCAAAGCCACAGCAACTCCAGCATCCGCTACATCGACCACGTCTCGGTGCTGCTGCACGGGCTGGCCTCACTGCTGGGCCTGGTGGAGAACGGACTCATCCTCTTCCTGGTGGGCTGCCGCATGCGGCAGACTGTAGTCACCACCTGGGTGCTGCACCTGGCGCTGTCCGACCTGCTGGCCACCGCCACCCTGCCATTCTTCACCTACTTCCTGGCCGTGGGCCACTCATGGGAGTTGGGCACCACCTTCTGCAAGCTGCACTCCTCCATCTTCTTCCTCAACATGTTTGCCAGCGGCTTCCTGCTCAGCGCCATCAGCCTGGACCGCTGCCTGCAGGTGGTGCGGCCCGTGTGGGCGCAGAACCATCGCACGGTGGCTGCGGCCCACAAGGTCTGCCTGGTTCTCTGGGCCCTGGCCGCGCTCAACACCGTGCCCTACTTCGTGTTCCGGGACACCATCCCGCGGCGGGACGGGCGCATCATGTGCTACTACAACATGCTGCTTCTCAACCCTGGGCCCGACCGCGACGCCACGTGCAACTCGCGCCAGATGGCCCTGGCCGTCAGCAAGTTCCTGCTGGCCTTCGTGGTGCCGCTGGCCATCATCGCCTCGAGCCACGCGGCCGTGAGCATGCAGCTGCGCCACCGCGGCCGCCCGCGGCCCGGCCGCTTCGTGCGCCTGGTGACGGCCGTGGTGGCGGCCTTCGCGCTGTGCTGGGGGCCGTACCACGTCTTCAGCCTGCTCGAAGCCCGTGCGCACAGAGAAGCGGCGCTGCGGCCGCTCGTGTGGCGTGGGCTGCCCTTCGTCACCAGCCTGGCCTTCATCAACAGCGTGGTCAACCCGCTGCTCTACGTGTTCACCTGCCCCGACGTGCTGCGCAGGCTCCGGCACTCGCTGCGCAGCGTGCTGGAGAGCGTGCTGGTGGACGACACGGAGCTGGGCGCCGGCGGCAGCCGCCGCCGCCGCTCCTCCACCAACGCCCCGCCCGCGCCCCGCCCGCGCCGGCCGGCGGGTGTGCTTGGCTGGCTGCCGGGCCGCCGCGCTGCTGCCCCCGTGATGGGCCGGGCGGGATCCCAGGATGAAAATGGCCCGCTGAACCGGATGCTGAGCACCACCTCTGGTTAGAGGCGCGGCCGGCATCGCCGTTCTGCACGGAAGGCAGAGGCAGGGCAGTGATCCAGCGTAAAAGCATCAAGACGCCGTCGTTAAAATGTAGATACTTTGCTCCAGCCTTGAGGATCTTAGTCCGAAGGGCGGGACCCTGGGATCTGCATTTTAAAGAGCCCCGCGTGACTCAGTGAACCGAGTTAGAAATCGAGTTAAAGCAGCTTCTAAAAACTTTGCAAATTTTACTGTGCTTGAGTCATCTAGGGATCCAGCAGGCGGAGCAGGGGTGCTGAGATCTGCTCCCAGGAGGCGGTGCCAGTGCTGCCAGCCCGCGGACCCACTTGGACCCACGGGGTTAAGATCCTAAGACTTCTCAAATTAGGGCAGTGGACTCCCCCAGACACACAGGATTTATCTCCCTGGGGCTCAACTTCACCAGATGATGGTAGGGTGTGTATATGTGACGGGTATTTTCACATTAAACCAGTGATGTCACTTTGGAGTAGAAAAGAGAAAGGAAAAGTTTGGGAGCGCTGTTCCAGTCTAACCTTTTCACTTTAGCCATTTAATCAGCGTTTGTTGAGCTAGATGCTTTGTCCCATTCTTGAGGGGCAGAGGTTCTATTAGCCCCAATTTTTACCCATGAGCAAACTGAGGCACAGGGAGATGAAATAACTTTTCCACAGCACACGGTCTGTATGCTAACCACTAAGCATACCTGTTCAATTATGATTCAGTAGGCGAAAGAACACTTTGGCATACCCAAGGTATTTCAGAGTAATAATCTGACACCTGTGCATGCCTGGTGTCCCTGGCATGCCCTGTGGGCAATGCTGGTCTTCCCAAGATCTTTGCAGCACCCACCTTCCGACCACACAGGGGCTGGGCAGCTGTCACTCCCATTTGCAGATGTGAGGCGTCACTTGTATCTCTGCCACGGCACATCCACTGCACCATGTCTGTTTCTCTACCCACGAAGGGCTTGAGGACAGAGACTGCTGTATTTGCTCTGCATCCCAGGGCCTGGCGCAGATCTGGTGCCAGTAAACATTTGGTGAATGAAACACTAGTGGAAGAGACAGGATGAGAAACTCTCGGCATTTTGGTCCAGTTCTTGTGCCAGCCCGGGGCTGAGGTCCCTGGGTCCTGAGGTTACAGTTTACTCCCAGTGGCAGGCGTGGCCTCACCCTCAGCAAACGCCTAACAAACTCAACAGATGTACAGCTGACGGAACAGACATCCCATTGTAACACCTCACCCAGGTTCCCTCCCACCCCTCCCCTGCTTTACTCATACTACTTTTGCCATCTGACACACAATATATTTTACTTGCTTATTATGTTTTCTCCATCAGAATGAAAGCTCCTTGAGGGCAGGAATCTTTGTCTGTTCTCTGTATTCCCGGATACCTAGAACTATGCCTGTACACAGCAGGCATTCAATAAATACTTTTGTTGTAGGCTGGATGGACATGAGTTATTCAGACCTGTGGGGCTTCCGCAGTCGGCTACAGGAAGGAGAATGCTAGCGAGGAACCCTGCTCCCTGCAGCCCCCCCATTTTCATCTTGCAGTGTTGCAAAGTGGGGTGCAGCCAGACTCAGTTTGCTGGGTGACAGTGGGGTACAGAGGTACCCAAAGCAGCCCACGGGACGGTGTGGGCGAGCTGGATTTCTGACTGCTGGCCTCCTGGCCTGGGTTGGACCCAGGGCCTTGAGATGAACATATACGTTTTGGGGAGTCACCAGCTCCCTGAGGAACCAGAACCTACTCTCCTTGGTTTGAAGGTACTTGGAGAAGGAGGGTGAAGGGGAGAGGAGGGGGCTGAAGCTCTTCCCGCCCCCCGCAGTCTTTGCCAGGTCCCAGGCTCCCTCTGGGCCTCCGTCCCATGAAGACCTGCCCTAGACCCCTCAAAGGCTGAGCTCCGTCTGGGGTGGAGTCTCCGTTTTGGAGCCAGCGTTAGGAGTGCCAGGCCGAGCAGAGGTGTGTGACCAGTGGCCCGAGACGTGCCGTGCCCGATGTGGCGGTTGGCTACGGGAGGCCTCCGGGCTGTCCTGAGCTCAGACCTCGGCGGCTGGCCGCTGGGGCGGCTCCTTCTGCAGCAGAGCCAGGGTGTCCCGCTTCGCGATGGAGCGCAGCTGCTTCCTCTTCGCCCGCTTGAGCTTGGCGGGGTTTCGGATCTGGGAGGCGGGGTGAGGGGAGGGCATTAGTGTGGCTGGAATGCTGGGAAAAAGGAGGCCTGGGATCGCAGCGGGAGAGCGGGGGCCGAGGCATCGCGAACACAACAGCCAGCCCCCCAGGCAGGGCAACACTCACCACTTGGACAATCTCTGCCTTGCGTTCGTTCTCCAGGCGGCGTTTCAGGTTCTCGGCTCGGCGCTGCTTCTTCTCCTGGAATGCACAGGGGAAGGGGCTGTGGGTCTGGGAGCTGAGGCAGCCCTGGTCGCTCAGGCCCCAGAGGGGTGAGAGCTGGCAGAATTCCCGGGGGGCAGGGGAAGGGCCTCTTCGCCTGGGTCTAGGTCATTCTTGGTGGTGTGTGGGTGGAGGGCCAGGCAGGAACGATCCCTGTGCCCATGGGACCAGAGGCCCACTGTGGTGGGAAGGTTCCACCTGAGAAGGTGGGCACCTGGGCAGGCGGCTGAGGACAGGGCCTTAGATGGGACCGGGGGTGGTGGTGCTTAGACACAGGTGGCTCCCCACCTAGAAACTCGGGCACGTGCAGACAGAGGGCCTAGGCACAGCTTACCTCATCAACTGCCAGGGCAGAAGAGGTGGGCTGGTGCCCTCATTTCCACCCTCTCAGTCTCCCTCTCTCCCCGGGAAGCCTATGCCCTGAGAGCACAAGGCGGGGGTGAGGACTGGGCAGGGTGGAGGCTGCAGAGAAGAGGCTCCAGTTCAAATCCTGACTCTGCTCCCTCCTAAATGGGCGACCTTGGCTAAGTTGTTTCACCTCTGGATGCCTCGACTCCCCCATCTTTAAAGTGAAGATGATCACATAAGCTTGTTTTAAGGAATGAATGAATGATTCCAAGTACAGGGCTTGGACTGTACCTCGCCCATTGGGAACACTTAGAAGGTGAATCTAGATGGAGTCTGCCTGGGGAATGGGAAGCCCATGGAGTTTCTGGCTTTGCTGACCGTGGTCCCTGGGGGGGCTAGGGCGGGATGTGGGCTCTGAGGCTGCCGCATGGCCAAGGGCCCCTCGTGGCTTTGGTAACTCAGGGGAGCAGGGGAGGCCTGGGCCCCTGGAGAGAAAGGAGAAGTGAGACTTGGGCTCCCAGAGTGAGGGGAAGGTCTGGGTTGGGGGCAGTGAGAAGGCGTCTTGCTCAAGAGGGAGCCGGGGCCGCACAGGAAGCGCGATAAGCCTCAGCACACGGCGGCGGCCGCACCTTCTACAGGACCTCGACCGGAGGCTGAGCTGGGGCGACTCGAAGCAGGGAGCAGATGACTGAACGACTGGCCCACTCCTCCCGCTCCGTGGCCAGGCTGGGACCACAGGCTGGGGCAAAGTGTTCAACTCCTCCCGTGCCCCTGGGATCACTAGGAGAATGATGTCTCCCTGATAGCCCCAGTTCTGGCGGGGCGGTCACTGGCTAATGCCACCACCCTGCTTTCTCTGTGTGCCCTGCGGGGGCTTCCTAGAGACTGAAGCGGTTGGGCACGAGCCCCTGATGGGGTATGTCTGGCCCTGGGATGAGCGTCAGGGAGAAAACTGGAGGAAAGTGCGGGCGTCCTCTTTGCTGATATGTGGGAGCCACCTCTTGGACAATGACAACAACAATCCATAAGCCTTTCCCACCCGAGCCCCTGACCCCATCTCACTGAAAGCTCCTATCGCCAGTGAGGGCCACTGGGGCTGCGTCGTGGGCCTCCTCCCCACCCTCAGCCTCCTATAGAGCCCGGGGCTACAGGCATGTTCATCTGGCCTTGCCTACCCTGTGGTGGCACTTCTGCTTCTCAGGCTCGAGAAAGGCTCTTGGCCAAGTGAGCCTCCCCCTGGGCACCTGTGTGAGCATCCCCCTCCCGGCAGGCCTGTGACAGCAGACACTGGCTCAGCCCGAGCTCCAGCCTCAGCCTGGCCGGCTGGCCCCTCACCTGCCGGCGTCTCTCCTTCTCCTCCTCCAGGTGCCGGGCAAAATCCTTGGCCAGCTTCTTCTCCTGCCGTTCCTTCATCTTCCGCTGCCAGGATGTGCGCAGGGGCTTGTCCTGAACCATTTGGGAAAACCTGGATGGGGGAAAGGGCACACTCCTTGATTCTGCGGGACGTACTGGTGCCTTCTCCTCTCAGCTCTGGGCTCTGAGCCTTTTCCCCCTGAACCCGGTGAGGGTCACCTCCCTACCTGCCGGCATGCCGGCAGTTGACCCTCCGGGTCTGCAGACTTGGGGCAGGAAAGGGGCCTGAACATGCTGGCTGCCATTTTTATGTGCCTCTGAGGTGGGGATCGCTCGTTCTCTCCATTTTACAGAGGAGCGAACCAAGGCTCTGGGAGGTTAAATAACTGCCCAAGGTTACCTTGTCCCCGATGGCTGTTTGGGACCCCAGAGTCTGGGCTACACAGTCTCTGCCATAAAGCTGCTCTTTCCCCAAGCGCAGTCGGCCAGGGCGTGAATGCCTCTGGAGATGGGGCTCACTCCCCACCGGGCAGCTGTTAACAGGCACAGTTCTCTGTAACGATTCAGAATCTCTCTCCCCAGAAGGGAAATGTGAAAATGGAGTGGACACTAGAGGTTAGGGGAAGTGCTGATTTTCTTAAATGCGATAGTGACACTGTAGTTATAGGAGAAAGGTTATCTCTGTGAAATGCACACTGCAACGATGTATGGGTGCAGACATACCCAGGATGTGCTGTGAAATATTCCAGAAAAAAGAAGAAATGTCAGGCGGCAAGGTGAAGCCCAACCAGTGAAGTGCTGAGAACTGTGGAAGCTGGTGATGAGAACGTGAGGCTCATTAAACTGCGCTCCCCTTAGCTGTAGGTCTTTCTCCCTGAACTATAGGCCTCTTTGGGTGACCCATGGGCCTTTTCTCCTTAGCAGATCCTCTCATAGTAGCCTTTTTGCCTCCTCCACCAATATGTTAACTTTCAAAAGAGTTCTTATTCATCTATGTCCATTATATGGTGCCCTGAACTGTCACAGCAGGTCAGCAGTCCTGCCCCAGCCTCTGAAGGCTGTGATGCCCCAGGGCAGAGCCCACTCCCATCCGTGGGGAAGGGACAATAGGGCTCTTCTGGGCTGCCTTCTTTCCTTGCTCCACATGAGAGTCTGGCACACACAGCCTGGACTTTGACCCCAGCACACCCCCACACTGCTCCTTCTCCCTGTCCCCAAGGGCCTGCTGCGGAAGACCTGGCCTCGGAAGCACAGAAGAATGAGGCTGCAGCATGACCTTCCTCCCTACCCCAGCTGGGGTCCGAGAAACCCAAATGGACCAGGCAGTGGGGACCTGGACACAGAGCCACAGGACACAAAGCTGCATCTTTCTAGAGAAGCACTGCAGAACTTTCTGTCGTGGTGGATATGTTCACATTGATGCTGCCCAATAAGGAAGCCACTAGTCACACTGGCTGCTGAGCACCTGAAATGTGATTGGTGTGGCTGAGGAACTGAATTTTTAACTTTAATTTTAATCAATTTAAATTTAAATAGCCACATGTGTCGGTGGCTAAGGTACTGGGCAGTGCAGTTCCAGAGCATGTTTTACTTGGAGACTGGAGGAAGACAGGCCTGGGTTCCAAGGCCGAATCCACCACCAACTATCTGTGTGACCTTGGGCAAAGTAGCCTCTGAGGATCGGCACCTTCCCATGTCAGAGGGAGACGAGAATCGTTCCCATCCCAAAGGGTGTTGGATCAATCGAGTCTCGGTGTGAGAATCACTTAGCACGGTGCTCTGCACATAGTAGGTGCTCAATAAACACCTCCCTTCAGCGAAAGGAGCCGGCACACTCAAGGAGCACTGTGCAGAAGGTGGCGTTTGGCATGAGCAAGGAAGGTGGGGCTGCAGCCACCCAGGCCTTTCCAGCTGTGACTGTCTACCTCCATAGTCCCCCTTTGCGGGGACAACTCCTGGAGCAGGTGCTGCCTCCACTGTCTCTGGGCTCACTCACCAAAGATCCCAAACATCAATTCAATGGCCCTTTGGCCCTTATCCACAAGACCTGCCTGAAGCTTCTGAAGGTGTTTTAATTCTACGGCAACAGCCTCCTTACGGTCTCTGCTTTCACCCAGGACCTTGTATGGTTTGTTCACCCCTGATTTCTCTGCAGAGCCTTGGCTTCCTCATATGTAAAGTGAGAATAAAGCTGCTGCTTCATAGGGGCGATGTGCAGATTAAACCCCATGATGCATGTTGGTCCCTCTGTCTGAAAGGCCATCCCCTGGCCAAAGCTTACTGAAGTGCTTAGCAGTGTCCTATATGCTCAGTGCTGTTAATACTTTTTATCACAAAGGCAAACAACTGTAACAGATAATACTGGGTGAAGACCTCACTGCTTTTTATCAAGTCACAGCTGCTTTACTTGCTTCTGCCTCCCTCACTAGAGAGGGCAGACAATGGCAAATGCCTGTTGAATGAATACACAGATGAGGTTCTCTAGGAGAGATGCAGATGCAGAGACCCTGAGGAGGAAAGCAGCACAGAAATAACCATGCTCTCACCCTCCACCCCGGGGATCCCAGGGCATTTTACTACATTCTGATTATAATTTTGTGTGAGCTCTCTCCAACCTAGGGGCTGTCTGCAGGCTGCACTGGCGCCCCAGCACCACAGACGATCCCACCCCTGACCAGCTGCTCCCCCCACGCCCCCCACCCATTTCACCTCTTCTTGGAGCGGTCCTTCCACACCCGCCCCGACTTGGGCTTTCCCTTCGGGATTATAGGAACCTCCACCTCCTCCTTCAACTTCTTGGACGCTGGGGCCTGGTCTGAAGATCCTTTTCGCTTCTTTGGCCCTAGGCCGTCTCTCCGCGGCTCCCCGGCGGGAGGTGGCTTGCTCGGCTCGTGCTGACCCCGAGGGGTGCCGGCTGACTGGGGTGTCAGCTCCTGTAGTGGCGGCGAGGGCTCCGGACCCGGGGCTTGCTGACCGGGGTAAGGCTCTGGTGATCCTGGGCCCGGCTGCAACTGATGTCGGGGAGACCCCGGGGCTAGCTCCTCCTTACTGTGGGCCAGCTCCGCGTCCGGTTCTTCATGGCTCTGGAAGAACTTTGGTGACTCCCCACTTGCCTTTAGCTGACGTCGGAGGGATTCAGGACTCCACTCCTTCTGTCTTCGGGGCGACTCCAGGCCTGGATGTTGCTGACTCTGGGGGGTTGCTGAAACCGGATCTAGCTCCCTTCCGGGGGATCCCAAGCCTGCCTCCTGCTGTAGACTGGGTGATCCCGGGTATGTCTCCGGCTGACGTCTGGGGGACCCCAGGCCGGGTTGCTGCGCACTCCGAAGAGACTCGTGCTCGCTCGTTTTTTCTGGGTTCGACTTAGACTTCACAAGGGCCCGTCTCGCCCGCAAAACTGAGGTGGTGCTCTCGGAGGATTCAGGCTTTAGGCCTTCCAGCCGCCGGCTGCGCCTCTGCGGTGTGTCCATGGCCCAGCCTGCAATCTTCCCAAATCCGAGCCCACGTGCAGCCTCTGGGGCGACTGGCGCCGTCATATGACGTCGGCGGCCGCCACGTTGGTGCCTGGCAGGAGCGGCTATTGCCAGGGCGGCCATGTTGATGATGGGCAGAGAAATGGGGTTGGTGGCCCGAGGGGCGGGACTTACTAGGCGCCTGCGCAAAGCGCTGTGGCGCGTTTACTTGGGATTGATGAGCGAGCCCTCGCTTGAGATCCTGGTTTGCCTTCGCTGCAAACACAGTCTCCAGGGGAAAAGAGAGTGTATAGGCAGAGAAGGGCTGGGGGACCCATTTCCTGGAGAATAGAGGATTGGAGAAAGAGCCAGGCAGCCCGTAGGCAAGGCTGGATGAAAACTTTGCCGCTAACTCACTCCTGTGCGGTAGGGCAGGGATCCCACCCTCTTTGGGCCTCAGTTTTTTCATGTGTAATATGGGTGATTTTGCACTAGTTTAGTGTATCTAATATGACCCTGTCTGAGTATAATTGCCAGAATATTATCTGGAGGATCCTGGAGATGGGAAATCTCTTGAGTCTTGAGTTATAGGTTAAACGTTCACACCCTTGCCTTCTTTTCTCCCACCCTGTGCTTAATATCAAATCTATGATTCTCCCTTTTCAATATTTTCAACATTTATGCGTGAAATTGAGGCACCGGTAAGATGCACCACCTTTGTCCTGGCGCACCTGGGCCCTCAGCTACGCTGCATACCCTCCCAGGTGCCCCTTTTCCCCTGTTCTAGAGACAGATCGGATGGCCTCTGAGCTTCCTGTCAGCCCAGACTGTGGCCTTTGCCCCCGTGTGTGAACATGCCTTGTCTCCCGCTTTGCGTGAGACCCAGGAAGGGTTTTGAGTCATCCACAGCATGAGTCTTTCTTAGGAAGAGCATCTTGGAAGTTGCCCAACAGTATCCTAGCTCCAGTGTTATTCTTAGAACTGCCTGGGGGTGGCCCTCTGGGATCCCAGGGCTCCTGTCCTGCTGTCCCAGTGGCTTCTTTTAGAAACCATTGTTTCTCCAGCAGAGGGGTTGCGAGAGGGCCTGGGAAGTTGTCCAGGGATGCTCAGAGGGCAGACATGCGAGGCCTCAGCACTGAGCACAGCCCCCACCTGCTCAGTCACTCTGCAGGGTCAGATGGAGCGCAGCCTCTCTTGACTGCGGATCAAGGAGGAGGTGAGGAGGTTCCAGACAAAGGTTCTTGGAGGATGGAAAAGGGGATTGGGAATCCCTTAACACCTCTTACTCCTTGGCTGGTGCCCTGTAGCATCCACAATGAATCCTGATGAATTCAGCCTGTTGAAATCACCTCCTTAAAGGTAAGACGGTGGCATGGGTTCTTTGATGTCCCTCCATGTCATCAGAAATAGCTGCACCGTTGGACTGTTATCATGTGTTAGTCCCTGCCTTCCTGGTCCCTCTTAGAGGCTCCTTCTGCAGGTGCGGCGCCCTCATGATCCTGGGCCAAGGAAGGCCCTGCAGGGGGAGGCTTGCCTCAGGTCCCTGCCCAGCAGTGCAGCTCCCCACTGCAGAAGCAGCTTGGACCTGTCCTTGCCCAGCTCTTCCAGCCCCCAGCTCTCGGTTCCTTCCATTCCTGCACCTGCCTGGAGACCTGAGTGGCCCACCGCTCAGAACCACGTCCAGCGTGCATTACCGGGGCTGCTGGAGGAGCCTGTATGCCACTCCACTGCCACTGTCCGGTGTCAGGTCCCCTCAGCTTCCTGCTTCCTGAACTCCTGTCCTCAGCTGAAGGGATGGCTCTCAAATGCGGATTGGATCATATGCCTGTCAGGCTTAAGGTACTTCAGAGGGTAATCTCAGGTCCCCGCCAGAGTAGTGGGAGAGAAAATGATGTTTTACAGACGCGAGCTCTTTGGGTGCCTCTGGAATCATGTAGAGACCCTTTATCAACCTAGGCATCGAGTGAAATGTGGCCCAGAACCCTCCACTCCCACCTGAACTGTTTGTCATTGTCATTATCAATGGTGTGCAGGACCCCAGAGGAGACCCCTGAATTTTTCAGAAAAGCCTGGTGTGGCAGTTGCTGTAGGGACTCTGTTCCCTCACACTCCTTTGTTGTCTCCTGCAAACATCCCAGCCCCCTTGCCCTTGGGTGGCAGGATGCTGAGGGGGTTCTCACAGTCCCCCAGAGGACCCAGCAGGATTAAGCCTCAGCTGTCTACGAACGTAACCTGGTCATTCATGCAACCTCTTTAGCTTCTTCTCTGTCCCTGCCTCACCTTCTCACATGTAGGTGCTAGCTGAGGTTATTTTCTGAACAGACTGTCTATACTTACATCCTTGTCTCAGTCAACTCTGGAGGAACCCAGCCTAAAACACTGGGGTATGCATTAGTGGGCCAGGCATTCTTCCAAGCACTCTATATGTACAAAGCCATGTAATCCTCACAACAACCCTGTGAGGCAGGTGTTGTTATTACTCCCATTTCACAGATAGATAAACTGAGGCACAGAGAGGCTGGAACACTTGTAAAGATCACACAGCAAATCAGTGGTGGAGGTGGGATCCTCACCTAGACTGTCTGACTGCAGAGGCACAGCCCTTAAGAGTAAATCTCTTGTTACCCAAGTAAGGAAACCGAGGCACAGAAAGGCAAAGGTGATTGCCCAGAGTTACACAGCTCTACATCAAGGAGTCAGGAGCACAGTTCCAGAGCCGGCATACTTAGCCACCTTGCAGCTGTCCCTCACATGGGCCCCTTCCTCACACTGACCCTGGTCTCTGCACTGGGAGGTGCTGGGTGCTATGTCGCCCCATGGGCTGGCTGTGGCTCTCTGTGCGTACACACTGGGCAGAGTGCTGAAGGATTGTTTATGTAACCTGAGATCTGCTGACTGAACGAAACCATGCGCCCAGAGATGACCAAAGATACGGATCAGTTATTCTTCTCTGAGCCATTAATACTCCACCCAGCCAAGCGTGTTGCCGTTGAGAGGGTGTGACAGTTCCTAGATGTCAGGGGCATGCACCCCCACAGCCCTCTGCTCAGGACCAAGATCAGCGATAAGGAGAGAAAGAGTTGAGGCAGCCACCTGAGCACTAACTGAGCACATCCTAAGTGCTGGGCCTCTCCTGGGTGCTCGTTTAATCCCCTGGAGTGTGGGTGTAGGAGGGTGATGGCTGCACCAGGAGGAGGGTGCTTGATAAGCATTTGCTGAATGTGGGGATGAATGTTCATTACAACCTCCCGGGGCGGGAGGAACATCCTTGGTTTACCAACAAGGAAACCTGAGGCTGAGAGAGGTTGTGATTTGGAGCCTGGTGACTTAAGGAGAGGGTGCCTGGTGCAAGGACAGGACTGGAGCCCAGGACTTCCCGACTCCACACCTAAGCCCTTACTCTCACATCTGCCAGGCCCGGGTTTGGGGGACAGGGGCCGAGTATATGCAAGGACTTGGCAACTGCAACATTGCTGAGTGTGGCTGGAGTGTGGACAGGACCCCAACGAGGCAAAGGTGTCGCTGGGCTGGGGCAGAGCATGAGCACACGGGTCCAGGCTGCCCTCTCCTCCACTCAGAGGCCTCGTAAGTGTTTGAAGACAATTTTCCTGTAGCTTCGCCAGAATTGTCTTTTTTTCTAGTTCCAACATCACCTCCTCCTCTAGCTGTTCCTTCCACTCTTGGGAAAAGACACCAGTTCTCTACAATCCTTCTAGAACGTGGCGCCCAGAGCTCCCTCAGGCACCCAAATGCCCCACAGAGAGCCAAGGGCATTTGTCACTTCCCTACTCCATCATTCCTGTCAGTGTGGCCAGGTCCCCAGCCTCTTCCTAAACGTGAGCCATCAGCTGACACCCTCAGCCTGGTTCCAGCTGCTGTTCTGCGGACCCTGGTCATGAGCTGTTGGTTTTCCTGGACAAGTGCAGGCTTTGTCTTTTGGCCTCGCTACATTTTGTTTTGACCTCGCTGGAGACCCAGCTCTCCTCCTTCAATATTGGCGCCCCCCCCCCTCTTGGCATGCGGGAACCTTGAATTAAGCCCTGCTGAGAACTTGCAACAGGACCAGGGTTATCATGTCAGTTCTTATCATGAGCACTTATCTCAGAGGTTCATCTTTTCTTTGTGTTCCCAACAGCACACAATGAGTCTCAGATTCTTGAGACGAGGGCCAGAGACCTCAGCAGAGGGGCCAGGACAATGGATGGGAGTAGAACCTGGGACCCCTGTGGTGAGGCCCTAGCTCTGTCCTCACAGGGCACTGCCAGGGCGCAGAGAAGCTGCCTGGGCTGGAAAGGACCTCTCTGCACAGCTTTTGTGTGCTCTGTACCTGCAGAGCTTATCTTCTGATCCCCTCACAGCATCTGGAGGTTTTGCTGAGACAGGAAGGGGGCAGACCTGTCACCCCCAGGATGACAGGCCCACTTCCCCCTCTTCAGGCGCTCGCTAGCCTCCACAGCATGTTCCCCTGCCCCAGGCAGACCAGGGAAGGGGTGAGGGTGGGCTGGGGAATGAACCCTTGGGCCAGGTGGGAAGTAGACACCCCAAGAAGGGGGGCATGGCCGCTCACACCCCATCTCACCATCACCGCAGTGTGTCGGATAGCAATGTTTCTTAAACTTGGGCGAGCATCAGAATCAGACGGAGGGCCCATTAAAACACAGATTTCTGGGCCCCAACCCCAGAAATGATGATTTAGTAGGCCTGGGTAGGGCCGAGATTCTGCATTTCTAATAAGCTCCTGGGCGCTGCTGCTGCTGGTCTGTGGACCACACTTGGAAGTGCAGTGTCCTGCGGTACAGAGTGAGTGATACCTGAAGAGCGGCCCTGCTTTATCTGTGCGTACGGAGCAGGGGCTGAGTTCTCCCTACCGTTTATTTATTCACCAGATTTTTATTGGCTGTTCATTCTCTGAATGGCACTAGGAGTACAGCAGGGAAAGGGGCAGTTGTGGCCCCTGCCTCGATGGCACTTATGTTGTCTTAAAACACATGAATCTCAAAACTGTCCTTTGAGGAAGGCTGGGCAGGAGTTGTTTCCCCTAGTTTACAGGTGAGGACATGGCATCGCAGAGAGGTTACGTGACTTCCAGAAAGTCACACAGATGTAAAGTGGCAGAACTTGAACTCAGGACTTCTCAA